TCGTTTCTGAAATAGTTGAGGGAAAAGCAGGCGACGAAAAGCCAAATATTCTACTGGCGCTTCGTCAAACAGTGCTTCTTCGACCGGTGCCGCTTGTACCATGCAGCTTAACATCATGAATGTCGAAATGGCCATTAAGCATACCATTTGAATGGTCTTTTGCATTGTCATTTGCTGCTGTTCGACGCTGATGAGAGACTAGTAGATAAATATGAGCAAGTATGTAAATGGTATGCTCTTGCAGTAATGGTTCGGCTTTATAATATGGATATTGAGAGAGAATGAGATGAATATCGACGCACGGGTGCTTTTATATCCAATTGGCAATGAGCAAAAATTCCCCATTTATCGATGGGAATTCCCCATCTATTGATAGCAATGCGCACACTTATCGGTCCAAATTCTGCGCTTTTCGGTAGGAATTCCCCACCTGTCGATAAGAATTTCCCACTTATCTATGGAAGTTCCCCATGTATCGATGGAAATTTTCGACCTGTTGATGGGAATTTTCGACCTATTGATGGGAATTTTCGATCTATTGATGGGAATTTTCGACCTATTGATGGGAATTTTCGACCTATTAATGGGAATTTCCCACCTATCTATTATGTTCTCCTTTGTTAGAATAAATTTAAGGGCAAATGTGAGGTCATTTGAGGAGAAACATAGCTTTTTTTTCAAAAAAGATGATCTAACTAGTCAAGTGTATATCACCTATATATATATATATATATATAAGCACCACCGGGTATAATAAGAAAAAAAGAATGACAATATAGATGTCGGATATAACACCCTTCTCGGACAAGGAAAAAAAGTTTTTGTTTAAAACATAATAACATCACTGTAAATGCATCAAATGAAAGAGAAAAAGAAAAAAAACAGTAGGAACAAATGTTCGTATAATATCATGCAGGAAATATAAAACATAAAGAAAAAAAATATACTATAGAGAAAAAAATCTGACAATAATAAAAAAATACAACAATAGAAAGAGAAAAAAAAATGTGTTTACTATTGTTGTTTACTCTTGTATATCATTTGATCTCCTTGATAAATATTGACCTTGACGACGAAACAAGCAATAATGATGTCTATCATATATATCACCGAGCAATCTTCGTTCATTTTGTTGTTCAATTATTTTGTCTTTTATACCAATAAGTAATAAATCATCAACTGGTTTGACATGAGTATAATAAATATTGTATTCAGCAAGAATATGTCGAACTAATTTCATTGTAAATCTGTAGTAGAATGGACGAGTGATAAAATATCTATAACATTGCATTCGGAAATAAAGATTTCTTTTTCGATTTCGTCGTTTTCGAGCTTCAGCTGATCGTGTTCGACTATGTAATTGACGTTTCTTAGTTAAAGATTGTTATTGTTGTTCATAATCACTGACATCATCAACCATATCATGGTTGTTGACACGTAAATCATTATCACTTGGTGGTAATGCAGGATTTGGTTTATTATCATCATCTGATATTGCTTCATATAATGATTCATTATGATTTAGTGATAATGCTTTATTTAATTCATTATCATCATTTGAAATTTCTTCATATAACATATCATTATTAATAGTAATTTTAATACATTAATTAACTGTTATTTCATCATCATCATCGGAGATTAATTCAATATCATCATTAATATTCTTAATTATTTATTGATTAATATTTGTATTTGTTGGGTTGTTATTAGCTCGTGATGATGATGGTAATGCCTGAAATGAATCAAGAATATTAAGTTTTTTTACCTGTTGAAATGTCCAATATAATGTAACAGGTCGAATTAAACATGTTGCTGCAAAACAATCATATATCGCGTAATGTATCATTTTATTTCTTTTTGATGTTGACAAGGTTGAGTACATTGGATCTAATTCCATTGCCCATTCATTAACAATAATTGAGTTGTCAATAAACATTCCATATGTATAAATTAGAACGATTTCGTCCAACAATTTGACGTTATACTTAGTGATGTCAATCGAAATAACAAAAATTCAAATTGTGTCTACGAGAAGATGAAATTTTCAAAGTACAAAATGGTTTTCGACAACTCATGAATTTGAAAACACTCTGATACTGTCATACAATCACATGAGAGTGATTCTTTTTCCACTCTGTGATCTCTCAGACCATCTTAGTTTGAGAAAATATTGACTTTTGTGTATAAGGCTTAATAGTGCTTTTTTTCTAGCATTTAACTCAAAGTGTTCTTAGTAGAGGTATTCGACTTTTAAAGATTTATACAATTATAACGGATGTCCCATGATTAATGACCTACTCTATTTTCTATTTTTGACGGATTTGAAACTTATTTTAAATTTTGGTTCTCATCTCGCTAAATAGAGATTTTAATTATCTATAAAACTATCGATTTTATTATTCAATAATAGTTTTCATGGTGGTATAAATTGTAAGAGATTAGCACCTATTGAATTATCAAACTGTAAATTATGGTTTTTTCAGTAAAAAAAAAACTTGTCGTATGAATATGTTCTCATCAAGATTAATGCCAAAAGTTAAGCAGTGTACACCAAAAGATAGAGAATTTTTCCTCTATATACCTATTAGGTCATCGTGGCTCTTTGTGCTTTTGTATAGAAGAATAAAAATTTCCAACATATATCTCATGATATTTTTGGATGTATTATGACAAATGATCTTTTTTCACAAGTCAAACGTCTACAATAAAATACTGGATCTTTTATGATTGGATGAAAAATTTAATTTTATACATAGTACTACGCGTATTTCCTTACATAGTTAAAATATTTAGATTACTTTGTTTGAATCAATCTAAAATAATGAGTCGAATCAGTTTGACAACGCTGATTTTCGGTGTTTTGACATCTTTCATTTGGAAAACTTCGCTCTGAGATAGGTTTTCTAAAACTTTAAAAATCGTAATAATAACTGCATAATTTTGTATATAATCTCGTTGACTTTACTCTGATGCAAGAAACCTATTTGAAAGATCCAATTCGATAGTTTTGTAGACAATCTAATTTTCTATTCAATGAAATCAAAATGAAATTTTATAATAACTCCTAGATGCTTTAATGATAGAAAATAAAATAGGTTGTTTATTATGGGCTACCCATTATATTCTGTACATATTTAGAATAGATTGAATAAATCAACAGTAAGTACAAATTTATTATATCTATAAAAAAACAGATCCAAGAAGAAGAAAAAAATAAAAAGAATCGTTTTCGTTTTTTTTAATGTTTTTATTGCTATTTAGGAAAAATCTGACTGTTAATATTCATTGTATTCAATTGTGTTTGACATATACGTGTTGAATCAATTTGTCGACGTATAACATTTATTTTATGTGTATGCATACTTCGCATTTGATTAAAATTATTGCGTTTTGGTGTGAAATCAATTTGCCAGAAGAAAAAAGAAAAAGATTTTCTAATCAAAAAGAAAACTAGATCAATGAGGCTTGAAACTGATCGATTTATTTTCCATCAGACTAGAGCGATCGATTGAACTTCTTGCCTTACTCGACAAAAAAAATTGATGCATTTAAATGTATTTTTTAATCAACTAATTCTAGTGTGGGAAAAAGTTTAATAGTGCAGTACTTCGAAGAATACAATATGAAACTCATACAATTTTTCAGCTTTTTAATAGTAGCAACGTCTAGTTTAGTCTGTCGTATTCCTTATACGCTAATGCAAAGAACAAAGGAAAGACTCTTTGAATACTTTTCATTCAGTAACTCACAACAACTGATATTTTGAGTAACATCTATGCTTTGTTTCGCCCGATTTTCTTCAATAAAGATATCATTTCTTTATAAAATTGATAAATTGTAGCAAAGGGCTATTTTTAGAAGTTCAATATCTTAACGTAAGAACATTGTTTTAAGCTGAAACTTCCAGGATTTTCTAAGCATCATTAGATCGATCTACTGGCAAAATTTCAGATCGAAGTTTTGTTATTTGATTTTTCAGTAAATTCCTAAAAATGAATCAGAGCTCAGCTCCAAACATCCATGAAGATGAACTCTTTTCAGACTGTTAGATATTGTCATAGGTGCAGAAGATAGTAGTTGATAAAACTGCTACAATAACATGTAATCTTTTTTTTTGATATTTATATAGTGACAACAAACTAAAGCTACTAATCATTGAGAATTTCTAACAATTGATACAGAAAAGTGAGCTCGAACTCTCGAATTAGGATATTTTTACTTTAGATTGAATTCAATTTCTAATATCTGGCTTACATATCATGATCATAATAAAAATATTTAGCATGATCAAAGGTTCTCATTGTACTATGAAAACTGATAACAACAAGAAAAACAGACTAGTTTCAAAGTTTCAAAAATTGACTAAAGAAGAACAGATCAGTTTCAAGTAGTCTTAGATGAGTTTCATACTTGTTTGTCAAGTATTTGTTTATATTCATCAAATTTCTTTTTCTTTTCATCTAATATTAATAAATCTTCATTTTCATGTTCTTCTTCATTTTGATACATAGCATATAATTTTTCTGCATCAATCGATTTAAATTTAACATTTAATAAAGCATTATGTAATAATTGATGTTTTTTTCTTGCACCAACTAAATCAACAAATAATTTATCAATTGTATCACGTAATTCAATAGATTGTTTAGCTTCTTGTTTTGATTGAAATGAACGTCGTTGAAGTTCACGTATTTCATTTTCAATTGAAGTTTTCATCTTTAATATAGAGATATATATATTATATAAAAAGAAGAAGTATTACTATCCATTTCAAAATATGATACATTCCACTGCTTTTTGAATATTTGATAGAAACATCATCGAGGCCTGCGGTTTCCACTATTCAAAAAAGTTTTACTCTTGATAGAATTGATCGATAGAAAAAATTCTTCTCTTTTGATCTACGTAAAGTCAACATTCTTAGCTTATTCTGTTCAAGAGTTATAAAAATTCTTCTGGAATTTTCGATTTTAGCCATTTGATCTGTGATTACTCGAAAAAGTAACTAGGCATGGATAATTCACCATGTTGAGCCGACTGGTAATATTTATTTTTGGATTCAAAATGATTTGACATTGTTATCTCAATACTTCTGAAATGTCGACCTCTTCATTACATAGAGATTGATTGGAGTGAATTATCCCTGCCTAGTTACTTTTCCGAGTAATCACAGGTCAATTGGCTGAAATCAGAGGTCTCAGAAAAAGTTTTATAACTCTCTAACAGAACAAGCTAGGAATGTTAGCCTTGCGTAGATCGAAAGAGAAGAATTTTCTTTATCAATTAATTCTATTAAAAGTCTCAATCAAAAAGAAAATAGTTTCAGAAATTTGCCTTTTAAAATCTCCGCCAAAAATTCATGTGATCAGTCGATTGTTGACTACTCAAGTTCGAAAGCGCTGAGCTTTTTCTCTTGAATGGTAAAAACTGCAAATCTTTATGATGTTCCTATCAAAAGTTGTTCAAAAAAAAACCTTGGAGCACATTGTATTTTGAAATGGATAGTAGATAAATTACTTGTTCTAACTCACGTAAATTGTTTTTTAATTTTGATTGTTTTTCAGTAAATAAAGATCGTTGTTGCCAATGATCATCTTCATCTGTTTTTAATTCGTACACGTGTGTAGCTGATAATGAGTTATAAAATGCTTCACTCATCTGATGAAATTCATTAATACGTTTACGAAGATCATGAATTATTGAACGTTTTTGTTCTTGAGTATTTATTAATTCTTCATATTGTATTTCCTTAATAGATTGTAAATAGGAAAATATTTTTAAGATTGGTGATAACAACCGCAAATATTCAAATGCGAAAGAAACTTTTATAGCTAATGATGATTGAACAGTAATTTGACAAGATGTTCATTCGTTTTTCAGTCTATTAAAGAAGTCTGTAGAAATTTGAAAACATTCGATAAGAATCAAAATTTTTGTGAGACTTCTGATTTAGAAGTTATCAGTCGACCTTTTAGAAGCGAGAAAATTAAGTTTGGATGGAGAAAATTGACGTTTTTTTGCAGCAATAGTTTCTTCTACTACATACTTTTTATTATCGATTTTTATGTTGTATAGAATTAAAGGCGAGATTATTCTCTAGAAAGTGATATAATAATCAAGAGTTTCAGAACAATCATTCAGGAATGGCGTCAAGCTCACTTTTCAAGTCTAATGTCCATAGAAATCGAAAATATTGCCTACATTAACACGATATCTCTTACGAAAATACTCACTGTTGACATATAACTTGCAATAAGCTAATCTTTAGTATAGCATTGTATAGAGAAATGCTCGCTTTTTTATTTTCTGTATTTGAAATAATTTTCACTTTTCTTTTGAGTAATTTTTGGTGCACTGAAGTGCATCCAAACGTAACTTACGGGTCTCTAAAACGTTGGCTTATAATTTTCAAACTAGATGTTCTACAAAAATTTTGATTCTTAGCCAATGTTTTAAAAATTCTGCGAGCTCCTTTACGAGGTTGAAAAATAAGCCAGCTAACAGCGATGCCAAGGTTTTTAGCTAGGAGAGTTGAGCGTCTCTTCCTGTTAACGAACAGTTATCGAAGAAAAGTGATGTTCATAGATATAATACCGTTCGAAACTGATCGTACACTTAATACAAAAATAGACGTAAATCTTACAATGAAGAATTATGTATTTTGTGATTTTGAACAAGAAAAGCGTTGTGAAGAATGTTTCAATGAAGTTTTACTGACTTTTAATTAAAGCACCTTGAAAATATTTTTTCCTATTGAAAATCACAAAATAAAAAGTTTTTCATTGCAAAGTTTATGTATATAGTTTTGTATTCAATGTACGAACAATTTTAAACCAATTCACAGTATACTTTTATCAAGCACAATAATTTTATGGTGCAACAAGAGGAAATCTTTGACACAGATAAACTATAAAACTTGAATTACAATTGGCTAAAATTTATATCTTAATAAATTAAACTTCTTTTAAGATAAAACAAAAAGAAAATCATCTATACGACGTCGAATCCATCTTGAACGTTACTGTATAATTAAATCGAAAAGTCAGATATCTAACCTCGTCTAATATCTACGTGGATGTTGTCTCTGAATAAATGCTGAACCACATTTTAGATATTTTTCAGTTTCATATTATGTATTTAGCACAAGTTTAAGTATATCTAATGTTTGGATATAATCAGATACTTAGGAAAAAAAACTCACATAAGACAATAAAATCCACGAACTTTTTCAGTATTTAGGTCTATGATTCCGTACATGACATGTCGAAATCTACAGTAGATTATATCACTTCGGTAGTTTTGATATGTTTTTTGTCAGGTGTTTGTTGATAAGAAAAATTAATGAAAATTATAAACAATCTTTTCTAATAATAATCATTCATTCGAAAAACTTCGATATTTATTTTTGAAGAAATATTAATATCTTACTTGATTTTTCGATGCTTTATCTAATTCATTAATTGGTATTGTCTTTTGAAAATCTCTTATTAATTGAGCATAATATTCTCTTTTATCATGTTCATAATTACAATCTAACATATCAAGTTGTAATTCAACTTTAGCATATATAATATGATCAGTTTGAATAGAATGATTTAAATTTGAATCTTTTTTTGTTGATGTTCCACTTGTATAATTATTATTATGACGTCGATTTGTTTCATCAGATGTTTGAACACGTGAAAGATTTATTTGACCATTTTGTATTGTTGTTTGCCATTGTTGTTCATATGTTTGACAATATGAATCTTAAAAAAAAATTCATTATTCAGTTTTTTTTTGATTTATTTTCTTTTATCTGAATAATTGGAATAGCAATCTGTTGAATGTTTTTTTCCATATTGTTTTTCAATTGTATTCTTTACTATCTGACTATTAATTTCACTCGGATGTAAAACACTTTCAGTATATTCATGCACATACGAATAATTTGACCAATTTCAAACTATAAAACAATTCAAAAATTGATTCTTGTTTTTTTTTTTATTAATTTAATCATACTCGTCTTGGATCTGTAGATTTTTTTTATTTCGTCTTCTTTACGTTTCTTAAAATCATTTGATAATAATGGAGATATATCATCAGATACAATATACTATAAATCAAAAAAAAATATATTTGAATAGACAAGAAAAATATGATGACTTTACACGATCACCATTTGCAATTAATTGTTGCCAAGATTCATTTTGCCAACGATTCTCTTGTTTTTCAGAATCCGATGTGCCACATACAATGCTTGGTTGAAGTTTAAAATAATAACAGAGTGGCTAAAGAGATAAGAAAAAAAGAAAAGAAAAGAATTAATATCGAATCTTAATGTGCAAGTGCTTCTTGTATAGGATTTTTCTTGCGGAAAGATCGATAGTTTAGTCATTTTAACCTTTTGAGTGGTATTGCTCGACGATGATAGTTAGAAACTTCTAAATTTGTATGATCATTGTCATTACCGAATGCTGATCACGCAACAGATTTATGCTTCTTTGTCTGGATGATTCGTGAAATATTAGCATTTCAGTTCTGTCGTTATAAAATGTTAATAACTAGTGGTCCAAGAGAGATGAAAATTTTTCTTTTTATCAAAATCTAGTTGCTACCTTCCTCTATCTACGATACAAATTATGAGGATTAACTAGTATATGGTTCGAGAAATCCATCAACATCTTTTGTGGTTAATATTCATTATAATCATGAAAAGAATTTAATAATAAAAATTTGGAGATAAAATATTCATAGATAAGGTTTTGTTAAGAAAGCTTTACATTCGTCCTAACTATAAGTCATTTCATTTATTTTGCATCTTTTTTTTTTTACTTTATAGATATTTGCAAGCAAAATTAATGACATATGCGTGATCAGACAATAAATTGTCCTTTCGTGAGCTATTTAAACATTTAAAAAACGTAGAGAATTCTGTGTGCTAGTACCAAAAGGATTAAACATTCTGAGTTTGTTGAAAATGTTGCATAAGATTTAGTGATTCTTTCATGTGTAATGTATACTACACAAATCAATAAGAAAAGAAATTTTGTTCCAACATAGTATTTGGTTACTTGCAAAAACTGCGGACACTCATGGTTACCTTGATTTTAATTGTGAAAGATATCGTTAGTTATCTTGATATTTATTTGTAAAATAGCTTGTATAACTAAAAATCAAAGTAACCATGGGTGTCGGCAGTTTTTATAAGTATCCATATTATTTCTACCTAAGGAGATCGACTCATCCGAAAAGTTTCAGGACAGATAGATCTCGATAAGTTGAGCAATAATTTTCATTGAATGGAAATTTTCGAATGCTTCTCTATAGGAAAAACTGAGATCACAAGGACTAAAACCAACTATCTTTTCTCAGCTGCAATGTGTTTCACAAAGTTGAAAGTTTTCTTTTTTACAGATATTAGATGCTAATTAGGACGTCTACGTTTTATACCTGTTTGTAAACTCCAGTAAAAATCAGTCGTATATCATATTTTGAAACAAAAAAAAGTAGACACTCTAAATACTTTCTAGTTGTTACAGTGCATTTCTATAACATATATCTCGATACTATCTATTCTGTTTTCTAGGATATTTTCGTTTCCCTTATTTCGTTTCTATGACTTTTCTTTGTCCTTGATTAACCTTTGTATTCTTTTCTATTTTTGTCCTTGTTTTTTATATGCGTATATACACGTTTGTTTTTTCAAAGAATAAGCAGAGAGAGAAGAAAATACGTACATCTTTAATTGCGTTCGTTGCTTTTCGTGAGCGCGAACTCTAACACTAGTATTAGTAGGACAAAAAAACTTTCTGCTCGATCGGAAGTGTTGTGCTTGAGAAATGAGAGAAATTCTACATTTTTTTTTGTTACAAACTAATTCGTTAAGGAAAATGTTTCACGTATTCTTTTTTGACCTATACACTTGTGTCTATTAATTCTTGAAAAATGTCCAATCGATAGAGAAAACTTCGAATCCTAAATAAAGCAGAAAAAAAAGACCAAAGATAGAAAATCCGAAAATTTTGTGTCAGACAAGGGCAGGCTCTCTCAACACTAATTGCTATAAAAATAGGACGCTTTATATAACAAATTTCACCGGCTAAGTGAGATACGAAAAATATTGAATGTTTTACTGAGAGTACGAAAAACATGTCTTGAAATATCATAGAACAATTTAGACGACCCTATGTATATTTAATGCAAGTAAGACGAAATATCACTAAGTAGAACAAAGCGATTGTATAAAAAAAAACTAATCTTGAACATCTATTAACTCGCTATTTTTCTGTTTGATTTCATTATATAATATTATTTATTTATGTTAATTTTTTTTTTGTAAAATAACTTACCAATAAAACTCGTTCAATATACCCAATCGATTAGTTGGTTTTTCATTGCTATTAGTCGATTGTATAGATTCTGGTTGAAGTTCACGACGAAGATTATAAGGATATAATAAATACAATAAATAGAATAATGAATAAATAGAAAGAGCAAATGTCGATGGTGCATCAAAAGAAACTAAAAATATTACATATATATATATGTATATGTATTAAAAACAGGAAAAAAAACACAAACTTACGATTTGCTTTAACAAAATGATTGGCTGCAAGTTTAAGAGCATCAATTAAAAGTGATATTCGATGATGAATTATATTAGGATTAATAAGAATAATTGAAGCAAGTGTAAGACAACTTAAGCCATATATATCAGGTTCAAACTAGAATTGTTTTTTATTCTTTCGAAATAAGAAAAATACTCCAAAACAAAAGCAAATATAATTTTCTCACTTACATGAATTAATTGACCAGCATAAGAAGAAAATAAGAGAATACGATTTTGTCGTTGAATATCAAATCGACCACCATTGATAGGTGATGTAGCTAATAATTTAAATATTTCAATAAAAATAATTGCTAAACGATGATGTGCTCCTTTTCGATGAACATTTGTTAAGGATGATGAAAGAAGAGATGAACGTTGATAATAAATTGATAGATCATCTTCATTACTATCCATTGTTTGAGATGCTGCATTCCAAATAAAATCGGCAAGTGCTTATTTTCAAGATAAAAATTGCACCAGTACTTTGAAAGTATAAAAGTTGTTAGTGCAATCTCTGCGCGATTAAAATGTGAAATATGATTGATCTGTATATATTGTCAATAGAGGTCTAAGCCAATCGGCTCAATTGCTGCTCTTCTTGTAAGTAGCTGCTAAAAATTCTAGCAGCCGTTAGGATGAGGATTGATTTTCAAGGATGACCTAGTCTAGTTTCTTATTATCATACTCTTTAATATAATTTCAAGATTCCACGGAACTAAGAAACTTTTCAGCTATTATCGATTAATGCTTTCGTTTACATCGCTAATTGTAAATCAAGAAATCCTGTAATATATGCTTTAGTTTGGGATTTCCAACGTACTGATATGTCTGTGATGAAAGATGTTATTCGTCATAGGTTACAGTAACTTTGAAAAAAGGAATCAAAGACATATATATCAAATATCTTATGGTAGAAAAAAAATTTTTATTACGAATTTTAAGTAGAGTGAAACAACCAGAATTCAAAAACTAGCTTGGTAGGCACGCCTAGTAGATATTTTGAATCTGCATATCGTCTGGCATCGATCATCGAGGAGATCTTTTAATTTGAGAAAAAAAAAATATATAAGTTTTTTCGAAACTAATTTTCTGAATAGCTAAACTGAGTAAAATGAACGCGTACCCTTAACACTAATCTAGAATATCAGAATGTTCTGTTCTATGTCCTCTGCCACTACGGCTAGCATAAACGCTCCTGAACCACACAGCAAGTTTTCCAAAAAGTTTTGACTTTTCCGCTAAACTTGTTTTTTTTTCAGACTTCAAAGCATTTCTATTGAAAACCAATGGTATATTCTGAAGTTACATCGGATGATGTATGACACAAGACATTTTCTCGAAAAAATATGAACAAAGATTTCTCTCAGCTGTTTTTCACCGAAAAATACTTTATTTTCTTAAAAAATAGTTTTCTGAAGGGGGAACTACCCGAACTAATATCCGTCGTTTGAGCTCCTATTGGATTCACAAGGAGATCTTAGTAAGACTAGAAAAATCCTAGAAAGATTCATACACATGGTTTTCAGAGTCAAGTTATCATCGTTTTACTGAATTTTCGATCCAGCTTTAGGTATTTCTCGGAAAATCAAATAAAGGAATTTCGATCTGAAACTTTGCCCGTAAGCAAGTCGAATGACTGGTAGAATAAATTGAATATTACTTTGTCAAGATATTGAATTTCCAAAAAATAGTCGTTTATCACAAAAATGAGTTTACCTTAAAATTCAGTATCGTGGCAAAGTAAGATTCGGGATATTCTATTACTAAATCCTAAATATCAGTCTAGAAGCTAAACCTGCTCTTAGTCTAATCCAATTCGAAATATTATATTCAACAAGATTTATTTTCACTTTTGTTTCGTCATTGTAAGAGACAATAGTTTCAAACAAGAATATAAGGAAATAAAATTATTATCAGATTTGTAGTGATAAATTCCAAAAAACACAAAAGACTAGTTTTTCAATACTTTGAGAGCGTAAATATAACTTTGTTTAGACTACATAGAACGACAGAGCAAACAATTCTCTACAAAATGAGAAATTGTCGAGTTCTGTGCAACGTTTTTTTAGTTGAGATACAGTAATGTTACGAAAGCATCTAAAATCGTATTATTACTGTTTCCTATAGAAAAACGATTAATCAAATTGTTGTGTATCAGCCAAAAAACATCGTAAAGAATTTGGCAATTTCTCATTCTGTAGAGAATTGTTTACTTTATCGTTCGATGTTGTCTAAACAAAATTATATTTACGTCCTCTAAGTATAGAAAAATTAGTCTTTTTAGTTTTCTAGAATCTCTATCTTTGTAAGTCTGATAATAATTTTTATCTTTGGTATATGTCTGTTTGAAACGATTTTCTCTTACGGCAATGGTAAAAATTGAAAATAAACTTTGTTGCATAATTTTGATATTCACTGTATAATGACTAATCACCTTGTTTATGTTGATGATTAAATCCAATCACTATTTCATCTCTTCATTTATTTTATATAATTTCAATCAATGCTTTCTCTGGTATTAAAAATCTAATAATCATTCAAGATTTATATAGTCGTTTCAAAAAAAAAAAGATATGCTCGTAGATTTTCTTTGAAATCGAAATATGAAACACAATAGTGTTACTGATTTTTTTATTATCAACAAAACATTTATATTGTGTGTGTACAAGAAATAAATAATAAATATATTAATTTTTTTTTCTTTTCTCTTATTACAGATTACAGCATGCAATATTATTTGATACAATCTATAAAAAAAAAGATCTTATATTTCTTTTTCATAATTATTACCTCGAAACATTCAT